TAAAAAAAAAAGTCTAATCTACTAAAACGTTCGCGACCTCCATGCAGTGCCTCCGTGGACCCCATAGGGGTCGCGGACCCCCGGTCGAAGACTTATCCTCTAGATGTTTCTGTAGGTGTTTTACTTTTAACATGATATATCAGAATCAGAATCAGAACCGGGTTTATTGCCATTGTTAGTGAAGAGGTTCACAACTAGGAATTTTTTGTGGTATGGCTGTGGACCGTTATATCTGCGCCTTTTGGACCGCTATATTTTGGATTTATTTATTTGGTGATTTTGTGTTAAAAACAAGCTTTTTAAAAAATACACACCAAAAAATAAAGTGACTCACTGACCTGTGATTCTGTTTTTTCCTCTTTTATGTTTGCTGTGTTATTTTTATCAGAATCAACACAATTATCTAAACTATAAATAGTAAAAAAATTGATTATTTTGTTTCCATCAACAAAATGAATTATTGTATTCACCCATGGAGATGTATACCCATTTAAAAATATATCCAAAAAATATGGGGGAAAAACTACCTTGAATGAAATAAAAAAAAAATGAAAGCACACATTAAGTACTACTTGATATGAGAAAACACTTAATTGCACTAGATTTAATATTGGAAAATGTAAATCTTACCTAAAGTGCTGGTGAAGATTATAAGTCTTCCAGGTCCTAGTCATTCCAAAAATGTTAAAAACAATCCACTGGACTTTATTTTCAAATTTGAAGACTTTGCGCAGGGAGCTTCCTGGATGGGAATCGAAATGTCTTGTTTTTTTTTTTTACTTTTTTGGACTTAAACAAAAACAAACCTCAGATCCTGAGTGGTCAATATGAATTAATTAAAGGATGATTAAACGCTGTAACTGACAGATCATCTGAAAGTGAGATCACCTCTATTAGAGCACCCCATTAAGACTTTCAGCCTAATAAATAGTAACAGGTCAAAATCTAATGTGTGGTTTGTAGACTTAATTTTATATTCAAGAAAGTGTATATAATGTAATATAATATTATATAATATAAAATATCATAACATTATATAATATAATATCACATAATTAATAGGCTGTCATATAATATCATATTATATATTCAGGCCATGTTTATTTTTGAAAAGTAATGTCATGCTAACTTTATTCTCTAATGCAAACCTGAACAGGCCTTAAAGCCTCTAAGCTGTTACTTATTACTTTTTTTTTTTTTTTTAATCTTTGCATATATAATGGTTTTTAGATTTTAGCTTACAAAAGTGATTACAGAGACAATGTGTTTCTGTTTTTCAGGTCTTACGTTTTATTAGTAGGACTAGATTACAGCACAGCAATGTGTAAAATCAACTGAAAGGTGAGTGTCTGACAGAAAAAAGGTTAAATTAGTAACAAACCAAAACCCCCAGTTGTTGTCAGTAACATTTTCATGATATAATTTAATCACTTTAAATATATCCCTTTATTCAAAAGGTTATCTGTGCAACTAGCTGGCAAAAATAAAATAGTCCAGGTTCTTCTAAACTCTTTTATATTAAAATGTATTAAAAAGTAAGATTTTGGATAACCTAAAAAGATGAGAGAAATCAGGAGAAATACTAAAGCAAAACTTTTTTTGGTGGGGGGGGATCATCGATACTCATCAATAATCATAAAGATATTGGTTTGACGAAGCGTAAACTCATCTACCTTGTGATAAGGGTAGTAATGGGTGAATATAATTACTTTATAAAAGTTAAGCTATGTCACAAGAACTGTAGTTAAGAAATTTCTGTTAGAGAGAGAATTTAGGCTTACACCCATCACCTAAGACACACATGATCACTGACAAACTAGGTTTACATCTTTACATCCATGCCTTAACTTATTTAACAATAGCTCTTATGCTAAAGCTGAATTTTCCAAATCATGGCACACTTTAGGCCCTCATTTACAGCAACTGAGAACAGGTTCCAAATTTGTTATCATTTTACATAGAGATGTGTAAATGACAATCTCATTAAAAACAATGTCATTTCTCTGCCACTCCACTAGTGAGCAGTATGTTGTTTCAAATTTTAAAACATGTACACATGTACAAACTCTCCCTGCTACGAAGACGATTAGGGCAGCTGGGAAAAAAAAAACAAGTTCGTTTTAAATATTATTTTAGTTTAATATGGGAAAATGTCAAAATTCTGACTATAATCTCAGAATTCTGACTTTAATCTCAGAATTCTGACTTTTTTTCTCAGAATTCTGACTTTCATCTCTGAATTCTGACTTTTTTTCTCAGAATTTTGGATCTTAATGTAGATGGGCACTATGAAGCAAGAGACGTGGGAGCAATCAGCTTCACTGACAAAGGTGTGAGTTGTTTGACAGGGCCAGTAACACATTGGTGGAAAATGATGGAATTAGGCAACTTTTTACGTGCCGAGGGGTCCCTGGTGATGCTATTTCATTAATGGAAGAGCAGAAGGTGATTAAAGCAAGAGAGCTAGTTTAGTCTCTAAAACAGACATACGGCTTGATGCTAACATGTTTGTTAGCTGTCAGAATTCATTTAGAATTCTGAGATTAAAGTCAGAATTCTGAGATTAAAGTTAGAATTGTGACTAAAAATTTAAAATTGTGAGAAAAAAGTCAGAATTCTGAAATTAAAGTTAGAATTGTGAGGAAAAATAGTCAGAATTATGAGATTAAAGGCAGAACTCTGAGATTAAAGGTAGAACTCTGAGATTAAAGTCAGAATTCTCAAATTTAAGTCAGAATTCTGAGATTAAAGTCAGAATTCTGAGATTAAAGTCAGTTTTCATATTATACTGAAATAAAATTTAAAAATCAGTAAACATTTTTTATTTTTATTTTTTTTCAGTAATCTTCCATACCCTGCATTAAAGGAACAACCTCAATGTTTCCCAGGGCTTTGCTGAAAAGCAAGACCTATTTCCCTCTTCTTAGGACAACAGAGATCAGCAGGCCTTCATAAACGTTATAGACTAAAAGCCATTTTCAAATTGTGACATTTTTTTAGAACAGGCACACCATTGTTGTTTAGACACAAATGTTAGCCATTTCAAACAAGCACATGGAGATAAGGTAGACTAAATAGCACATCTATGGTTATAAGGGCTTTAGATTATAGCTTTTTCTGAACAGAATTTATTGGTGGAATAGATTTTTATTAGAACTGGAATATTATTTTAAGATTCATTAAGAAATACATTATGTATTTTTCTTTTTAACAAGCAAGTAGAGAAGAGCAGTATTTTCAAGCTGACATCCATTTAGAAAAATTGTTGGAATTCAAAACAAATATTCAAGTGTGTTAAATGTATTTACACTTATTTGTGCCTTTAAATTCTAATTAAAATCTACCTAAATAAAATATTTACAAACTTCCTCTTTTTTTGTCAGAGTATCTATCAGTTTTTCAGTAGATTACACAATGATTTATTTCCGCATGACAGCCTCTTTTTTTCATGCATTTTATTCACATAATATTTTGGAATAAATTCAGATGTGAAATATTGTTCACTTTCCTTTGGTTGTTGTATATTTAGTCCACACAGTGATTAAAATGAATAGAGGAAGCCTTTTTTGGGGGGGGGAATCATGGGATGGGCTGCATGAAATAAAACCTGTCTGTGAGTTAGAGGTGTGGGTCTGTGTGATGGCTCAGGAAAATAGAGAGCAGACACCCATTAAATGCTGCAGATCCATCAGATCCAGCAGAATAAAAAAACCAAAAAGAGTCCTATAATTACAATCATATAGTCGGCCTATGTGGATGTTGGGGCTCTGGGCGCCATACCGCACCATTAGTATCACAAATAAGTAATAATTTGCTAATGACAACATTATGTTGAGTCAGTTTAGGGCCAATTAAAGTGAGTGATATTTACATATGCCTAATGAATCACGGAGCGTGGCAGTTCGGGCGGCCTCTAATGAATATTCATCCAGGCATTTCTCCCCTGCGCGCAGCAGTTTATAAACTGAATTATGGCTGATTTGCCCTTTTAAAAAATGAACATGGGCGCATCACCCATAAGGAGGTGGTGAACAATAACGCCTGATTGTAAAAAAAAATAAAAAAAAATGTTTTACTGCGATAGTGGCAGCGCGGCTGAAGAGTCTGGGTGGGGCCCACCTTTAGGGGCCCAAGGGTAATATTTACAGTGTGCGTTCAGGGTGGCCCCTCATGATAGATCCGCTCTGGATGTGTAGATAATTGATTTGTTCTGACCGGTAGAGCAACTTTAAAACGGAGCTACAGCCCTCCTCCTCCTCCTCCTCCTCCTCCTCCTCCTCCTCCTCCTCCTCCTCCTCCTCCTCCTCCTCCTCCTCCTCCTCCTCCTCCTCCACCGGTGATTTCTCCGGTAATTGCCCCCTCTGCGTGTCGGGGAGCGGCTGTTGACCTCTCAGGTGCGGGATCAACAGGCGGCATCAGTTTGCATTCACAGAACGGGGCTCCACGTTTATCATGCAAATAATCAGCTCTCCTTCCTTCCAGCAGGTGTGAGGCGCTCATCCTCTGACTCTGCGGCTGCAGCATCTTTAAACAGGACCGCGCTCATTATTAAATCACTGGTGATAAACAGGAGGCTCTGCAGATTAATGCAGCTGTAAGTCTTAAAAAATAAACGTCTATCCATTTAATCACACAGCTGCATCTCAGTAAATTAAAATATTTTCTAAAACTTCATTTATGTCAGTTACCCAAACGCAAACTGTTCGTTAAGTAGGCCTACACAGAAAACAATAAGTGGTCAAAAAAAAAACAAAAAAAAAAACAACTCTCTATGTCTGTGAAGATTCTCAGTCATTAGAAATTAATATACTGTACTTGTAACAAATAATTAATATTATGTAATGTTGTTTTCCAAAGAATCTGCGTGCTTCGCAGAGCCTTTATCTACGCATATTGGTGGAAAGTTGAGTGGAAGGAAAACATGTGAAAACATTTTAAGGATATATATTTAGGGTGTTTATAAATGTGAATATTTGTACTCACAATAGAAGAAAAAAAAACACTTTTGGATTTATTTATTGAAGTAGTTACATTTCATTATGATATTTTAGTTTAAAAATCCTTAAATGTAAAAACATCCAAATAAAGATATGTTCAAATGTAAAAACAAATCATTTCCTTAGATCAAATAAAAACAACTATTGTTTAAATACAGAAACATCTTGGCACAGTATGCTTTGGCTTATATGAAAACTAGGAAGACTGCTAATTTAGTTTCTCAGCACACAGTCATGAGATTAACATGTAATGAATGCAATGGTTTTGCAGTGGTGGTTCTAGAGCAGATTAACCAGGGTGGGGCAAGAGGTTTTTTTTTTTTTTTTTTATGGAGGCCCATAGCATCACACACACATATACTCATTCTGCTATATGTGGTGAGGACCATGCGTTGACTCCAATTGACTTCCATTTTCAACCGTTTCTATGCCCTAACCATAAATCTAACCCTAACTCTAACAATTACCAATGCATACCTCGCCCTAACCCTAACCCAGTTGATACCTTAGCCCTAAACCTAACCTCTAGCAAAATAGCTTTTGAGGATCAGCAAAATGTCCTCACTCTGCAACAACTGGTCTTCAATCTGATGGTGAAATTTGGAAAATGGTCCTCACTCTGAGGGCCAGACAGCTACACACACACATACACACACCAGATGGAGGTTTCCCATAAGGATGGTTAGTCCCCATGATGTAGAGGTTTAAGAGAAAATTGTTCCCGCCTTGTAGAAAAAAACAAGAACACACACAAAAAGGGCATCATTTAGACCAGGGGTAGGTTCTCGAGTGCCTGTCCTGCAGCTTTTGTATTCAACCCTTCTTCACCACACCTGAAACATGTGACTGGTTAATGACCAAGAAGGTAATCAGGCCTTTTGGTTCAGGTGTGTTAGAGAAGGGATGCATGCAAAAGCTGCAGAACAGTGACACTAAAGGTCTGACATTACCTACCCAGATTTAGACTGTAAAGTGAGCCACAAAGCAAAGATTGCAGACCTCCGATCTAACAAATGTAAACTGTCTATCCTATCTTAATGGCGGATACAGGATGGCAGAAATTTGAAATTATTGGCTTTAACTTCGAAATAGTTGTTTAAGTAAACTATTAAGTAGAAAGATTAAATTGGTTGAATGGGCCAATTGTACAGTGCATCCTTTGTCAGTGCAAATCATCATAAAAAAATGATTTAGCATAATCGTTTCAGTACATGAACCAAACAGGCCAGGACCAGTTCTCTTGTCTAGAATCATCTATGTCTCCTTGTCTTATTTGAAAGTAACCCCACCTGATTGACAGAGAAATGGTCAGCACCACATCAGATGACTTGGTTAAGACAAGCTGACTCTGCAGGAGGGATCTCTGTAGTGAGGAAATATGGTGTGTGAAACCAGCCAGTCAGCAAGAGTTAAAAGCCTCAACAAAACTCATTTCCAACCAGAGTGATAAGAAAATTAGATATTATTAGATATTATTTTAATTTGTAGCACTTTTTTTTATAATTGCAACACAAAGTTTGGTGGCTATTATTGTTTTTTTTTGTTTTTTTTTATTCACCAGGGGACAGAAACAATTTTTAATATAAGGGCACTTTTGTTCATCCATCAGCGACAGACTTATGTCTGAACATTCAGAAGACATGTATTAATGTTTTTTTTTTTTTTTATCTACAGATGATGCAAAGCAATTTAAAATTTCTTTAAAAAAAAATACAAAACATATGTATGTGGCAGCATTGAATGCAAACATCGTTTTTGAAAATCCAGTATCAAACTGAAGTTAAAAATATAAAATTGAAATGGAACAATATGTTCTCTCCATGCAAATAGGCTACCAGACTGCAAGCTTATTGTTGAAACATTTCCAGATGAACACAACAAATTAATATAACCAAACCCTTGTCAATTAGGCTTTATCAAGTGAAACGCTTAAGTTAAATTTTTTATTTCAACTGCATGTAAGGGAAAAGTCCTTATGTCATTAACCTCTACCTAATTTCTCAAACATATCTGCTGCCACCTTGTGGTTCAAAGATTGAAGTGCATCTTTTTCAGGCCATTGCAAACAAATCTCCAACCCTTAAGAATTGTGTGGAGAAAAAAGGAACCAGAGATGGAGATTTAAAATTTCAAAGCTGAACTTGGAGATATTTATGTTGCACTAACATCATATGACAATACTTCTTGGCATCAAGTTCTCCTTTTTTTCTTGGATAAGAGACCCAGCCTGAAATTGCATAATGATCATGTGCAGAACAATAAACCCAGCCAGTATTGTCAGGGGGTTTAAATAAACAGGAAACTACATCTGTGAGGCACTGTATGCTGAAACCACACAAATGCAAATTGATGAATTAATCTAACACTTTTAGCTGTCGCTCTATCAGGTCAGTATAAACAAGAGCAGGAAACAAAAGACATGTGGTAATCTGAGCTGTGTTTTTTTTCCATTGTCTACATGATGTACTGCCAAGTTTTGGGCTTTACAACAAAACAAAAAGAAATAACTCAAACTGAAACCTAAATACGTGACACAAATGTTTGCACATTGTCCAGATGAGTAACAAGTCTGAAAATTGATTCCTCTTTCATTGCTGTAGCAATATCTTACATGAAAAATAAATGTTTTGTCAATTTCTAACTCTTATATGAGTTTGAATTAACACATAGAGCCCTATTGGAGTCTATCTTCAGTTAAACCAACACATTTTATAAAAGGATTTAGGTCTTGGGCGTGAGTTGACCTTAAAATAAGACTGATCTGGTTTTCGGTTTTTATGGTGTTTTATGGGGTTTTTTTATGCTGTATGGTTGCTATTTCATTCAAAGGTCCCTGTATTTCAAGCAGTTCTTTTCCACCCCCTTTTTAAAATGTTTCAGTTGTCATTTGGAAGAAAAAGGTAGAGTTCATATAGACTTTAAACTATAGTCCACAGTCAGCAAACTGTTTTCCACACATTAATCCTTACGTGAACTATTTTTTACAAGAAAGACAGCCATCAACTTCTACAGCTAGTTGAATAAATCCATTTTACGTGACTTAAAACATGTACTTTCCCTTTTGGATTAATAGAATATTTTATTATTGAACTAGGATGTCTGTAGATGTCTGGGAACAAGGGAGCCTTATGAGACAACTTATCCTTTATTTCCATCTACTACAGAAAAATTTCTGAAGCCAAACTATAAATTCAAATAGAGGCTTTTAAAATGTCGTCAGTGGATCCTTTACCTCCCTTAAAATAGCTCTTCTCTCAGTACACAAAGCTGACATAAATAACCGACGCCTCAGGGAGTTTAGCCAGGTGAAGGTCGGGGAAAGGCAGCGTTCCGTCACTGTCTATATGAGTTAGAACCGTGTAGGTTTTGATCTCTGCTCCCCAGTCCAGAACAGAACTGTGGATGATTCCCAGTCGGGCCTGTTCGTGATGTGCCGCTCCCAGCTCCCTGCCCAGGAAGATGTCTTGGATCTGAGGTGAGGAAGCTGTCAAAGAACTCTTCATTGACTCAGCTATAAGGTCCACTTTGGTGTCTTTGTTGGGTTTGTTAGAGTCAAATGTAAAGCTGTTATCTCTGTCTTGGTTAGCGTTTGTGCTCTTGGCACAGTTTGCATCAGTGCAGGGATGAAACGGCCTCTCCGGTGCATTCACCAGCGTCAGCCTCTCCAGGCGTTGCACCACAAAATACCCCTCCTGAGTGAAAGAGGCTGCTCCCCTGGGCTCTCCTGGAGGTCCGCAGTGGATGAGCGTGAGATGTCTCACCTCTGAGTTGTTCAACAGTCGCATCACGGTGGATGGCGACGAGAACCAAACGGTTAAATGTTTTCTCTGGAAAAATGGAGTGGATTGAGTCAGGGGCCAGTGCGCCGTGGAGAGCTGGAAGTTCTTGCATCTGCAGTCGGACACTGAGGATGAGCTGCAGGGCTGAGCGTCCTGGCTCCAGGAGTGGTAGATGGAGTTGCCGTAGGCGATGTGAGCCAAAGGCAGGTCGGCCACCAGAGCGCAGAGCAGTAGGTGGAGGAAAGGAGTGGCAGTGCTGAAGAAGGGCATTACGGAAGGTGGGGAAGTCTCAGGGAGAGGGCTGACCCATGAGCCGTGATTGAATTTTTTCTACCTGCACCAACAGACAAGAAAATAAAAAAAGGATTAAATGAAAGTAGTAAATAGAAAAAGGACATTTGGCTCTAGTTGATAAATAATCAGGGAAACAGATAAGCAGCTGGAGCTTCACTTGGATTCAGATCCTTTCTTCTGCTGATCAACCTTTTTTTTTTTCTAGCTAGACTAGGTGACTCAAACAAGCGTACTTCTTACAAAATATGTAAGTCTATTTGATAATATAACCCGTCAAACCATTTATAGATCAAATGACTTCACCATAGTGCTGATAAAACTAAATTATTAATGCTAAATTGTCCTTAAAAGCCAAAAATCAAAACAACAGTATTTGTTTGACAAGTTCTGGGTGCTGGTCATTTTGTCCTGTTGCCATTTTGCATGTATAGACTTAGACTTAGAGACTTAGACTAGACTTAGACAGATCTATCTTGTCATTCTGTATACATGAGTGTCAACAAAAAGAAATTTCGTTCAGAACAGCTGCAGACAATTTCATATTTTAAAGTGCAGCCATGACAACGGTAATAAATACATAAAAGAATAAAACATATGACTGTATATTTACAGTTCTAACATTCATTTTTTTTTATAGCACCATTGATTTGGACGTTTTTTGAAAAAGAAATGAATAATGTCTGCCAATGCAAGTTTTGTGGCCTCCATGTGTCAGTTTGTATTGACAGTAAGAGTTTACTTCTGTGCGCATTTCTTTCTTAAATTAAGCAGCTAAGCTACATTACCTCTGTGTTTCACGATTTCGGTAAATGTGTCTAATCTCATAACTTTTTTTGAAGATGCTGCAAACTTCTGGGGTAAAAGGACGCTTGCACGGCTGGCAGCTAAACTCCCACCACTACTTTACCACCATTTGTTTCAGAGCCAATTTACACTGCAGGTTCTTTGATCTGCATGTACTGGTGTATAATAACAGGTACAGATGATCTGGAAGTCAGACCAAAATAATTGAAGGAGGGACTAAAACTGTTTAAACTGCATCTCAAAAGAAACCTGAGAAGCAGTGAGATGCAGTATTGAATTTTATTGAATCCAGATTGTTTCATCAAACGATGATGAGTACTCCAGAGAACCTTTATGTTTGATTAATTTAATGCTTTTAGCGTTTATATATGTGTAAATATAATGCATTTAGAAAGCATATATATTTCTAATTAGATTTTGCAGATAAGCATATTTAATAATAAAAAAAATGGCTCAGAGGAAATCTGTCTTTCGTGAATTATTTTGAAAGTGTTGTGCTTATTCAGTTCCCTGTTGCTGCAATGATCTCTGTAGATTGACTCAGAGCTGGCTGGCTTCAGCCTCCACCAAAAACACTATCTGGTCAAATTTTGGCAGGTAGCTGTTTGCATGCGGATGCAAAACAGGTGAGAATGGGAGTTACTGTGGAGTTTGCTGTGGTGTTTGTTGCTCAAAGTTTATGCTGTTTGCTGCCGTTTAGCCGGTAGCCGAGGTAGTTTAACTTTCAATGGTTTCTCACTCAATAATCATTCATTATTGAAGTTTTTCTCTGTCTTTGTTGTTGTCCTGTTCTCTTCCTTTCCCTTTACCTCCATCTGTACAAAACAGATGGTCATCCTCCCCAGCTTTTCCCAATAAAATGCAGCTGTGTTTGATAGCTGTTTGCGGCCCATAAACAGCCTACAGGAGATTATTCAGAGACCACTGTTTAAGGTTACTTCTGTGCAAAGTGCCTTAAGCTGCATCTAACTTTTTCAGATCTTGCAAGGGAAAAATCTTTCTAGGATTTCTCTAAAGCCTTTTCTTGGACTCTGGCTGCTGTTTTGCTCCATTTCAGTTCAGCCTGAACACCATAACTTACTTAATGGGACCAATAAGAGGCCTAAAGCCAAACTTAAAAGCCTTAAAATGTATATTTTTAAAGAAAGAATAACAAGTCAGGGAAAGGAGCTGATTTGATTTTTGTTCTAGCTCATAGTTGCAATCTGACCTAAATACTTATTTAATCTTGCACCTTATTTCCTCTTTCTCCTGGGGTTTGGGAGGAGATGTTTTAGATGGTATTGAGTAGCATTTGGTCACATGATTTATATCAATCTTTCACTTGACATTTAAATAGCATAAACAATGCTCCAGTGAGTGGATGAATGACAAATATTGATTGAAAATGTGGCTTGTCAGTGAGGCTTGTAGGAGGAGGCCAAACCCTGACCAACTCAGCACATGTGCCGTTTATGGCAGAGGGTCGCAATATTCTTTTTTCAGTGGCATTCTTGGTGCCTTCCATCCTGAGGTCTTGCATCAGAAATTTTGGATGTTCTCCTCATGAATATTTGGATTATCTCTGAATTCTTTGTCCTTTTTCTCTCTGTGTTGTCCTGTGATGGACTGGTGACCTTTCCAGGGTGCATCCTGGATTTTACACATGCCGAAAGGCCGAACCCAGCCTAATCTAGCAGGGGTATTGTATATTTAACTTTATAAGCATTGAATAATAAAAAGTGTGCAATTACTGTCTGTGGTTTAATGCATTTTTAATTATGTTATTCTATAATGTGCTCTTGGTACAAGACATTTTGTGGTTCCAAAGTAACACTGAGGTTAAGTGGGCCTGAGTCAGCAGTTTATAATTAGGATTGATGGACACATACAGGAATGTATGGAAAAGTACAACACAAAGATTAGAATCTCTAGAAGTAATTTAACCTTTTTCTAAAGCAACCCACAGATATAAAATAAAAAAGAGCACTTGGTGTGAGGCTGAGGCTGTGTGACTGGACATGATCTAGAAAGAGATTATGGTTGTCAGTCTGGTTTGAGGGGGATCGTTTTATGCACTCTGCAGCGGCCATTTCCTGGCCAGTCTTTTGGAAGCAATCTGTTTAGAAAAATAAAATGGATTTATGGTGTTACTTTATACCCGCCAAAGCTTTCATCTTCCCTGGAGACTCTGAACCAATGCCTGTTGTAGGCAGGCTGATTATAAAACCATTAGCCTGGGTTTGGTTGCAGGTTGGTTGTACAGGGCTATTAAAAAAGGATACAAATCTAAGAGAAAAGCTGTCTCCATAACATAGAACAAATGATTAAAAAGATGGTTTACCAATTATGGGATTCAATGTGTTGGGATCCAAGGTTTGCCCACCAGAGGGCGCTGTGGATCCTCCTGGGAGCTGGTTCTCAGCACAGCTGTTTCCCATCAGCTCTGCTGAGAACCAGCTCCCAGGAGGATCCACAGCGCCCTCTGGTGGGCAACCTCTGGATCCCAACAGGAAAAGGAGCCCACAGGAAGGGATACAAACAGAAACAGAAGCTACAGAATGGGATCCACACCGCCCTCTGGAGGGCAAACCTTGGATCCCAACACAATGGATTTAATTTAAAGTTATTGAAGTAAATTGGCCATTGATAAAAAAAAAGAGCACATTTTCATAGATTTGTTTTTGAGAAAAAATATCTCTCTTTTGGTTTCCATATAGAAAGCACATATAAATTCTATGGAATGGAAATGTCTGCAAAGCATTAACTAACTGTTGCGCATCAGTTTACATTTAAAATCTGCAAACAACTTTGACCAATTGAGTTCAGCGGAATTCTCTATAACTTTCTCTATCGGTCTCAGCCAGTCACGTGACCTTTGTTGCTAAGACGCCATTTTAGTTGGAAAAGGTGTAGTGTAAACAACCGCAGCATAGCTAAACGAAGGACTAAAGGCCTGTTTACATAGCAGCCTGTCCAAGATAAGTCATTACAGTTAACATAAGCCTGAAAACAGGGGCGGATTTAGGAAAATCGGTCTCCGCCAGTCACGTGACATTTGTTGCTAAGACGCCATTTTAAGTGGAAAAGGCATAGTGTACCGCGCCCGAGGTAAACAATTGACGTCACTTGGCGGAGACCGATAACCATTCTGGGCATTAAAATTGTTTCACCGCTGTTTATGAGATTATAGTTCTGTTTGGTCGGTTTGGTCCATCCATAAGCAACAGAGAGATGACCTGACCAAAAATGGGGTTCATTGATGAATCAGTGCCTTTAGTTTGCTGCTTTCCTGTCTGTCTGCAAAACAAGCCCAGATCATTTTTTGTGCTTCCTTGCTCGGCTCTCTCCAACCACAGATCAGTAAACTACACCCACATTTCTGTGTATTTGGCCTTATGCTTCCAAACTACTTTGATTCGGAAGCCTTGCGGCTAACTCAGATGCTACTTTTCATACCTAACATTCCTAAAACTGTTTCAGAGAGAAACAGTGATTTCATTTAATTGTCCAATCTAGAAAACAGCTTCTCCCAATCTCTAGGTCATTTTAAGTAGTCTGTAAACATGTCTGTTACTAAGTGAAGTTGTTTCTTAGTATTTCAAGCATTGCTGGAATTATTGCCTACCCAGATATCTGACTCACTCCAATGCTGCTGGGTTGGGAGTCAGTGAAGTTTTGCATAAAACCTTTTTAGAATGGGCCTGATACACTCGCTCATACAGATGCAAAGCTACTTTGTCCTTTGCACCCTTTATGCTACAGAGAGCTAAGACAGAAATCTGCTTTCAGAGAGCTGTTTGCTTCTGCTAATCATCAGTTAACCCAATGCATTTGACTATAAGCAATGTAACTCTATGTAAATCTGATCAAACTGCTGCAGAATCAGCTATTAAGTCCATAACTTGCTCAAAAAGTATCACTCTGCACAGATGTCTCTGGTAAGGGATCAGTTTTATCTTTTTATTGAAGTCCAAATCTTTCAAACCATTGCTTTGAAAGAGAATTGGTCAAACATTAAGTTAAAAAATGAATAAAGAAACTCTGTGTGCCCTGCTGTCTTGAAAATATCTGAGGTTAAACAATCCTTGCAAAGAAATGTAAAGTATCGGAACTCTCTGCTGCATTCCAGGGGTAACTTAATTTAATTTTAACCTTTGGCGCCGCAGCTGCTTTAACCTCCATGTAATCCCAAACAACTTCTCTTGAAACCCAAGACAGAAAATATGTGAGCTCCACATGTGTTTTTGCACAAAAGCACCTGTAGTTCATCTACCTTAGCTGAGAGATGTACTCTTGACCTTTCTAAGGGCGAAAAACAGGTCCAGGCAGGTATGTGTGTAACTGGAATTAACTGTGTAAACAAAGGGTTCAGCCTATGCTTATAACCATCCTACAGTTCAAGAGATTTATCATAGTTTGCATTTTTATTCCTTAGCATTGAAGCACTTTGCTCTGAGGTAATTCCTCTGTGATTCCATCTATCAATTATTTTCCGGCTGAATAAAGGGGATGTTGCATGAACAGCTGCTTTGGATAAAGAATTGTTTCAATTGGAAACACACACAAAAGGCCTGATGGGTGTGTCTGTCCTGGAATACAGCAACAGGGAAACATTATTTGGCCCTTGTGAGCCCTCATTGAATTTCACCTTCAAAAACACACATGGTCAGAAAATTATACTTCTGAGGATCACCCTGAGATTCCAGGGAAAACACAGTTTGGAAATCGTGGCTGTTTTAAAGGTCTAGGTTGGCTTTCTGGGTTTGGCAGTGATATCAGAGCAGGAACATGACTCCAGGTCATATTTTGAAGACCGGACAGAGCTGACCGCTGCATTCTTCCACTGCCCCGGAGTTACAATAAACAAAGGAAAGTTAGCATTTACAGTGTTTTCAAACACTGTACTCTGAATTCAAGTCTGTCACACAGACTCTGTTCATTTCCCGTGGTTAGGGAAACAATGTTAAATGAAATATCTTGACTCAAAAGGCCAGGGTCAGCCAGTCAGCCAAACATTTGGTTGCAGAGAAAGTGTTTTCACCACAGGAGGTTAAGCAAAGTATCAAATAATGTTCCTCTACATTATAGCATCAATATTCCAAGAATCAGTCATGCATTCCTTTGAGAACAGGAAGTTCAAATTCATTATGAATTTATGGCAGATATGGCCACAGTTGGTCACCCTGGAACAAAGATACTGTCTGGATGGATGGAGGGAGGAAGGAAGGAAGGAAGGAAGGAAGGAAGGAAGGAAGGAAGGAAGGAAGGAAGGAAGGAAGGAAGGAAGGAAGGAAGGAAGGAAGGAAGGAAGGAAGGAAGGAAGGAAGGAAGGAAAATAAGTACAAATAGGGAGGGACACGAGAATACAGTAGGAAAGAAAGAAGGACATGACAAAGGAAGGAAGGAAGGAAGGAAGGAAGGAAGGAAGGAAGGAAGGAAGGAAGGAAGGAAGGAAGGAAGGAAGGAAGGAAGGAAGGAAGGAAGGAAGGAAGGAAGGAAGGAAGGAAGGAAGGAAGGAAAAATATGGAGGGACACGGGAATACAGTTGGAAAGAAAGGACACAACAAGGGAAGCAAGGAAAGGAGGAAAGGAATGAATGACACAAAGAGGGAAAAAGGAAGAAAACAAGGAATGTAATAAAAGTGACATGGAAAAATACAAGAAAGAAAGGTTTGGAGTAAGGACCTGAAGAATAAAGACAATTTAAGATTAAATAGAGCCAACAATGAAACAGGGGGAGTCTGGAACGCAAAGCTCAGGGTGGATCCAAAAACAGCACAGGCACACAGGACCTGACAACTGTTGAAGACAGAAGGGACTTCTAAAGCACGACAGGAACCAAACAAAACAGAAAAAAAGCGCTGATCCTTCCTAAAAGCCATTTTAGGTGAGAATAAATTATGTAAAAGTTTTGCAACAATAAAAATTCAAACGCCTATCAGTTCAACTCAGTTTGAATTTTTAAAACATTTCACGTTTGAAAGCAATAAACATTTTAAAAAAAAGTTTTTTTTTACAAATGTTTTTTTAAATATTTTTATATTTTACACCACAGTTTCTAATAGGAAAAAGTTTCCTTTAGTTTTCCAAATATTCTTCAACAACATTAATCTTAGCCTCATTTTAGCTCCCTTAATCCAGGCTTTATTGATTAATCCCAACCGTGCTGAATGATGAAGCAGATACAGTACCTGCAACACCCTTTATAAAGCTTTCCAGTTCCTTTTTTTAATGAGGAAAAAATAAATAAAGCACAGAGCCAAAAATAAAAATGTTGAGGAATGTTTAAACCAACTGATTCACAGATTCAACAAAAGAGAGGAAATTTCTAAATAAAGCACCATAACCTTATTGTTCTTCTCCTTGATGAAAATAAAGAGTTCTTTCCCAAATGAATGCAACTTTCTTGGAGCTTTAAGTCTTAATCCTTTCACCTACAAGTGAATTAATAACATTATTCATATTTGGTACTCCAATAATTTAAAGCAATGTTAGGGAATAATCTGCAAAGTCCATATGAATCTAATCTAGATGTAAGCAGAGAGCAAAGAAGTCTCCATGAGTCCAGCATTTTTGCAGTTCTCTCAGTGAACAGAAAGTCTGCATTACAAAACACAGAGGCAGGAATGCTGTGTGCTGTAACATGAGGAAAACAGCAGGCTGGGCTTTAAATCTTTCCCCAATGTTTCAGCTGGAAACTAAGATTTACACCTTAACAATAAAACGTGTTGAAACAAATGACTAATTATTATTACAACAAGATTGCAGAGGTCCCAGGTTTCCAGCTTACCTCAAATCTCTGGTGTGGAGCAGATTAGGGAATGCGTCTGTTGGAAGCTGGAAAAGGGAGAAAACTTTCACATCCAGCTGACGTCAGGATGTGGGAAGTATCCCAAAGAGGACCCACTCCTGGAGCTGCATGATATCCCACATTCATTCAATATCTGATGTAAAGCTGCCTCCTAATACTTTTTTGAGATGTAGGTTTGTATAAACCAAGTGTTTGTTGATTTTATTAAAATATATTTTCTCAGTGTAAAAATTGGGTTTTCCTATTTTTTATTTTATTTTTTAAAGGTAAAGGTTTTGCATATGTTTTGAGGCAGAAATGTACATAACTCATTTTCCTGGCAGTGTGGGTATTTGCTCCTGTGGTGATTTCCCATTAAAGCAAAACAAACTATCAGCCTTCAGGTGCGTTCAAGTGCTATTGGATACATCGTAACTGTGATTCATCTGTTAGAAATGCAGCAGATAGCTCAGATAATTGATTGATTTTATTGATCTTACAGTGGAGCAATTTACCCGTTAGAGCTCAAATATTCAAAAAGAATCAGAATGTGCCAAAGGAAGAAAAGATACATAGGTGTATATGAAGTATATACAGTACGTACACACACACATATATAAATAAATTAATTAATTAATTAATATATATATATATATATATATATATATATATATATATATATATATATATATATATATATATATATATATATATATATATATATATATATATATATATATATATATATATATATATATATATATATATATACATATATAATATGAATGTCAGCTGAAGTCTGTTTTTTAAGAAGGAGTATTACAGGGTTATGCACAGGGTATTTATATAGATGGTTATTTATCTATATAACTATTGCACTGGATATAAAATATAAAGAAACAGGTTATTGCACAGGGTATTGAATTATAATTGCACATTATACATTGCACAAGTCATTGCTGTTGTAAAAAGGGAAAAAGGTTATAAAAAGGGAACGAAGTTGAAATCTGATCATACTAGTGAAAGGCACAATAAACGTACTATGAACTATGGATGAGTGTTCTGTTTTCTTTTAAACATCAATTATTATCACAATTTGCTTTTGATTTATATTAATATTCTGACATTAGGGAAAGTTTTTGTGAAAAAAAGTTACAGCCAACATTGCCAACAGCCAACATTGACATAAGTAACCCTCAACCAAACACTTCCTTGTTTCTTATCATCGTATGTGAGTGCATAAATGTAAAATATGAAAAAAAAATTGTAAAACAAATGAAAACTTCCCTTTTCATTTAAGGTCAGTTTAGAATTCTTCTGTCATACAGTGTTGGAGAAAAAAATTCAGCTATTACCTATATTCTTGAATTTAAAAGAGTCGTAAAAAAGACATTTATTTTAGCAGAATGCTTAGATTTCTGGTCTGAAGAGATTTAGACATAATGGTTTGCAGCAATTGTTTATAATAATATTAATAATAATAATAATATTATTATTAATAATAATAATCGTAATAATAATAAGAAGAAGAATAATAGTAATAACAATGCCGTCCTAAAATGTACTACTTTTGGGTTAAATAAACTACATTAGATTATCTTTAGGTATAAAGGTGTGTGTGAAAAAAACAAACAGCAGTTTGTTTTTAAACAAACGTTTGCACATTTAAAGACTATTGTATGCCTAAACTAGTCATGAGAAAATATATATATATTTTACTGAAAGTTCTTAAATTAATGTGTTAAATTAAAAAAAACATAAAATACATAGTTTTGTTATGGAGATCAAAGCGATCAGTAACATGGACTTATATACTTTTACGCATTTATTTCTTGATTAACAAGCCAAGGGTTTTAGATTTCCGAGTTTTCCTAAACGCGGCTCTAGGAAGCGTTGCAGCAGAGTCAGCCGCCGCCGCCTCCGCCGCCTGTCATAGCGTTTGATCTATCCTCTAAGTTCCCACTGCGTCTGTCTTGTATAAACCAAACTCCACACATCTCTGTTGGTGTTGACATCAAGGAGTCAAGGACAAAGCGAGCTCAGCTCGGACAGAAGAAGATGATTCGGACCCTTTTCCTGCTGTGTTTCCCACTTTTCCCCTTTGTTTCACCAGCTCAGGGTGAGTAGCTCTTTAGCAAACTCCGCGCTGCCTTTAAACCCGTATTTTAACAATTGTTTATCGATAAACTGCAACATGAAGAGATAGATAAACAAGGGAAGTATTAGTGCCGAGAGGCGGTGGTGTAAGCCAGGCGGGGATAATCAGGCTCTATCGGGAAGGAAAACTGTTATCCCAGGTTAGCTGGTAGGAAGAGTTAGCTTTCCTAGGAGAAGCTGGAATTTCCTACGCCCTGTGGGACATTGGGAGTAAACTAATATACAGTACCAGCTATATGATTAATGTGCCATAAATTGCCATTTTTCACAGATTTAACAGAATATAATGAGATTATTATAATCCTTTATATATATTTTTCTATTTTTTGCTGGTATAAATCCATGTTATTATATTTATATATATTTTTACAGTAGAGTAGGTAGGTTCTCACTGTGTTAGGGTTTTCTTCATTTCCTCTTTCTAGATTTCATTATTACCCAACATTTAGCTGTTCATTCCGGTGTTTTTAACTGTTTCTTAAGAGCGTGAGGCAATACAGCTCAGTCTGCTAAAATGACACTACTCTTCCTGAGGTTTTTGCTTTTGTTTCTTTTTTCTTGTTGGTTTTTAGCTTTTTTTTTTCTTTTTTTTTTTTTTAGATCCCTTTGAAAGCCATTAGTAAATAACAAATAAATACCTGAACAGATTCATGCAGCTTGGTTGGACATATGATCCTAATTAGGGCTGAAACAATTAATCGATGATTGTGATAATCAACTAATTTGGTAATCGATTAATTGTTAGAGACTGTATCATTTAGTTGACAGATTAACCAACCCTTGAACAACAATTATACTAAAATTGTAAAACAAATATATAAATATTTTGCATTTAAGATAAAAAAAAAAACATTTTTGTCCTTCAATATGCTCTTTTAAGAAATCCTTAAGTGGAATCGCTTTAGTTTCACCTGGTTTGATTTTGTAAAAAGTCTTTTATTAAGGAACCTTTGGCTATCTGATTATTAATTGATTAATTGAAAACAGATTAATCAGTTTTCAAACTAATCATTAGTTGCAGCCCTAATCCTAATTAATACATTTCTTTCTACTCAGTCGCCATCCTGTGGTATTCTCACCATATGGCGGTATTCACACAAATATTTGAATAATAAAACATAAAACTATTGATATATAGTTTATGAACAGGGTATTTGTAAATGACACACAGGGATGTTCTTATATGTACAAAAAGAAGCATCAACTGAGGAAAGGAAAAAAAAAAGGTGTAGGGACTCATTCTGGGGTCTTTGTGATCTAAAGCATTGTATATGCATGTGTGTAGTCGGGGGAAGTGTTAGATTATGGGCATGTGGGCGGGTGGGGTACGGGTTAAGTTGTCTATTCATATCAGTTTATTTAATCATCCATCCAAACCGTCTGTTGTCAAGCAATTTGTCTGTCTATGCATCTCCATGTGTTTGATCGCCTCAGTTATTTATATGTCAGTCCACCTGTCAAACCTTTATCCTTCTGTCCGTTTCTGCTTTTTATCCTGTCTCTTCTCCATCAAGTCATCATCTGTCCCATTATCCCTTCCTACATCATTCCCACACCTGTTCTCTTCATTTTTTTTTGCATACGTCCATGATGATCTACATTTTCGTACCTCTAAAAAGAGACCAAAAACAACTGAAAATTATGGGAAGTTGGAACGTGCTATCCTGCGAAACAGTCTACATATAACTTGCATGTAATGAACAATATCTACTACTAGACCATCCTATTAATTTGGAAATAAAATCTGCACAACAGCTGACAGTTAGAAAGCCCAACAGTGGAAATCCCTCAAATGATTTCCAAAGAAAAAAAAGAAGTCTGACTCTGGCAACATTTCCAATCAAGGTTAATAAAACAAACTTCACCGTTTGTAACTTCTAGTCAGTCTATGAGATCAGGCAGCTGTGGTTTGAGGTTCTGAACAATCAAGGTCACCTTTGGATCATTTTAAAGCCTATAAACCACATTATCTAAAGGCTAAAACCTGATGATTCACAGATTTCCTTGTGTTTTACATTTATTGTTTGGTCTAAACCAGTAACACCAACAACATATGACAAGTTTTATGTAAAGATAAAAGAAATTGGAAAACAAATTACTCATCACCAGAACAGTGTAAGATTTCTATGAGCTTCTCTCCACAGGTTTAACAGTTATATTAAAGAGGGTAAGGATTCTTTTAGGTATCAAATAATATTTTGAACTGGTTTTCAATTAGTTGATTGATCAAAAATGAAATACTTTCATTAAGTCAGCATTGCTAAACTCAAAAAAACATTTGGAATTAACAAAAAACCTTTAATTACACATTATATGAATTGCAAATGTCAAAAATGTAAAACAGTAAACATATAATACAGGTTGTGATATATATGATGCAACAATTTGTATTCCTATATGGAAAATGTTTGTATTTTTTAGTTTTGTCTTTTAAGTAGGTTATTTTTTTCAGCAAATGACCTGTTTTACAGTCTGTGTATCATTACTCTCTGTCACCATTAGATTACAAAATTAGTTGAAAATTGATTGAAAAATGGATTCATCTAGGGCTGCAACAACGAATCGATAAAATCGATAAAAATCGACTTTTAAAAGCGTTGGCAACGAATTTCATCATCGATTAGTTGTGTCGCGCGATTATTGCGTCATCCGCCGCGCCGTCATCACTGCCTCTTGGCTGAAAGAGGAAGAAAAAAAAAAAAAGGCAGAGCGAGTCAGCGCCGCAGGTGCAGTGTTGCCAACTCAGCGACTTTTCAGACCCCTCCAGCGACTATTTTTCAAAAAAGCGTTCTAGCGACAAATCTGGCGACTTTTTTCGGTGTCACTGGCGGCTTTTGGAGACTCTTACGTGAAAGCATGTATCGTTCCTACTCTGCCGTGGGGCGCCTCCCCCACCCCAACCGCGTTTTCCCGCAGGAGTCCCTCTCAGCGCTGCAGTCAGCCTCAGCGTCCAGACTGCAAATGAAGCGCGCATGCACCGGGATTGACGGCGCAAATTGATCACAATAATTAAAATAGCCTGCGCTTTGTAAAGCGAAAAAAGTGATAACATGCAACTTTTTTCAAAAGAAATTAACATGGCACGGAAGCACCATGTTTGTTTGGTTTTAAAGTGGGGAAACGTAACGTTAGTTTCTCAGGTAGCTCATCTGATGCTTTCCTTACCGTGTTAAGGCCCATTCATACCTCACGTAAAAGACGGATACGGATACGTGTGGAGTGTTTCATACGTTCTAACCGTCGATTTTGTCCGTACTTTGACACGAAAATTGGGAGCTTACGCTTACGGACGAAACGGATCAATACGGAGCAATACTACCGGAAACGGTGGGGGCGCTATTGAGTTTTTAGTACAAAATGCAACAGAATCAGGTCTTGGACCATCGCCATGTTTTGATCAATGACGAATCATTGGCGCCCAGCACTGCCACCTAGAGGAAATACGGGTTATTGCGCACCTCAACGGACGGAGGTATGAAGGAGTCAACGGATAGAACGTACGGACAGAAATACGGACGTGCAGGCCAAACGTGAGGTATGAATGGGCCTTTAGTAGGTTACAGACAGGGATAAGGTTGGCTACTTATTTTACCTTTAATTTCATTTGAATTAGCTTAAGCAGCGTTTATATTTTCTTTATAAATAAATTAACTTGCAAATTATGAGGGCAAGGCTTTTAAAGTTTAAATCTTCTGGCAAAGATAAAGTAAAGAAGATCCTGCAATTTATGGAAGTAAAGCAGAATAAAATCCAGCAAGATCAGTAATATGTCAATTAATTATCTGCCACATTCCCATGTAAATATCTGTCTTTGGAGGATGTGTGTTTTAGCACCCCTAGTTCTCTCATTTTTATTCCAAATACAATTTATAATTTGAATCACAGGGCAATTTTTTATCTCTATGGTTCAGTATTTTCTCAAGTAGCAACTTTAACTGCTATACTTTCCTGTCTTAAAAGGCAGAACTCTTTTAGTCTAAAAAAAACTAATTTGTTGAAATAGGGGGGGCCTATTGTTTGAACCCCTTAGGGGCTTTTAAAAACAAAAATGTCTTTTTTTGCGCTTTATGAAACAAAGTACCCTATATTTTGTGGATGTACAGCTACATTTCTCATGTAAGTTTGCGTAGTTTTAACACAAACATTTATTTTTCATATTGCACCAGTACAGTTAACGAGCAACCTGTACTTGTGTGCTTGTTTGTTCTGTCTAAAATGTTTATTTTGGAATAAAGAGGTTAATATAAAAAATATTTTTTGTCCGATTCATCGATTAATCGAAAAAATAATCGTCCGATTCATCGATTTTTAAAATAATCGTTAGTTGCAGCCCTAGATTCATCGTTTCAGCCCTAATTTAGCTCAACAGTTTCTCTCCACTGGTGGATTTAGATTCTGTTTTTATTTTAATTTTTTTTCTCAGAGCAGTTAAGGGCTGAAACAATTAATCTGATTAATCGTGATTAATAATGGACCATTAATTTAGTAATAGATTAATAATTAACTGGAGTCTCTAAGACAGACCTTTAGCTGACAGAGCAACTCACCAAGAGCAGTAATTATACCAAGATTGTAAAAAATATATAAACATTTTGCATTTAAGATTAAAAAAATAATAATAATTTGTCAATAATCTCTATCCAGAACTCCTCATTTTGAATAGCTTTAGTTTCACCTTGTTTAATTTCGTAAAAAGTCTGGAACCTTTGGCTATCTGATTATTAATTGCTTAATTGAAAAAAATAATTGTCAGATTAATCGTATTTCCCAGGCGCTGTTTTGGGGTTAAGTTCTCTGTTCCTGCAAATGCATAAATTGATGCTTCAAATCTAGCTGCCCAATAAAAAAGATTGCAGTGTACCACTATAATATGACTCCACAGCCTACAGAAGATTTCTCTGAGTTTGGGGTTAGCTATGAAGCACATTTCCTTTCCTGTAGCCATTGTTTCCTTTAAACAAG